CCGTTCTTTCAGTCTTAGCCCGCTTGCGCGCGACCTCCTTCCCTTCGGTATTTTCAACCTCCCAGAATCTCTTGAATCCAGTGAAATGGGGTTTTTCATGCCCCTCCCCCTCCAATATTTCCTTCGATCCACAACTCCGGCAGCCTCGTTTCGCACCGCAGAACCAGCACTCCCCATCCCTCTCCGTCTTCCTCTTCCTCCCAAGGGCTCCGAGTTCATATGCATACGGCCCAAGCACCTGGGTCGCTCTGTCGATCTTTGGCCTCATAAACTCTCTTTCGCGTCCAGATGCCCCAGTATGTTTGGCCAAGCATCGCCAGCAGGTCCCGGATTCCTTCTGCTCGACGCCATATCCTGAGAATTGTATGATGCACAGCTCTGGAGGGCATTTTTCTTCCGGCCAGGAGTTTGGGCAGCTGGGGAGTTTAGAAACTTCGACGTATACCCTCGGGCAGCAAGGGAGTGTAAAGGGGACGACTAGGCACATCGCCCTCACGGCTCAGTGTGTATATGTGAGGCTGAGAGTTGACTCTTGTTGCGGTCGAGTTCGGATTTGATAAGATAGTATGAGTGTTCTAGATCCCCAGATGATTTGTCTAGAAGAACCTTCGAGTAGAGTGAGTAAGATGTGTTTGTTGTACAGTTGCGAAGTGGCAAGGACGTTCGCTCATGGCTTAAATGAGTTATGCGTGCCTCTTCAATGGAGTGCCATAGAGTGAATGGCAGGGCTGTGAAGGGTATTGTATGTGAATCACTGGACTCGAATCATGCGTTGTTTGATACGTTACCCCGAGTCCTGTTATTGTTAGCCGTCTATCAGAGTGGGAGTAAATAGAGTAAGAGTTATTAAACACCTGTGAATCAAGAGAGTCATCCTAAGGGAGGCATTGAAAGTGTACCCATGCTTTCCGTATTGCTCAGGGCCTCAAGGATTCAGATTTTCACAGCTCATCCTGCCTGGAGAATAAAAGGTTCAAGATCATTGTATTGAGTGCGCTAGACGCATCATCATGCTCAACGCATCTGATTTGATTTGGGCAGTTTTTTTTTCAAGGAATCAACGGCAATGGCACATTCTCTCTCTCCATACGACCATGTGACCTCAGATTCCAAAGCGACAGAGAGTACCCCGAACGAAGCAAAGGAAGATGAGACCCGCGCCTCTCAGCCTGGGACTGATATGGTGTCCGTAACAATTTTTGTGCGAATTTGATTACATGCAAGGAAAGGAGATGGGACCGCAAAAGGAAAGGTTGGTGTAACAAGCGATTCTTTGGCGTGTCAAAATCGTGAGGAGTCGTTGACAACGAATGACCCCTTCACATGATTTGATCCTGAGTCAAGGTTTCGGTCTCCATGGCATCAACGCCACCAGGAGTTTGATACTTAACGAAGCTCAGTCCCAGCGGGCGTCCACCGTACTGGTAGCCAGAAAACTTCTCGATAGCTGTGTCGGCACCCTCGGCGCTGTCGAATCGCACAACACCAGTTCCTCGGGATCGGCCATTTGGTTCGTACTGGATCTCGGCTTGTTCAACCTTTCCGATGGTGGTGAAGAGTTCCACAAGATCTTCGTTGCTCGTAGACCAGGGAAGCTGCGATGCATTAGCGCATATTTTCAAGCTTCAAGTCATTTGGTACTTACGTTTCGAACATAGATGATCTCGCTCCTCTCGGAACCAGCAGTAGCGTAATCGGTAAAGGGGTTAGGAGCTGCAGCAGGGGCACCGGCGTCGAATCCACCGCCTGGGATACCACCTGCGTAGCCTCCTCCGAAGCCACCTCGACCACCAGCTCCGAAGCCACCCCCAAAGCCTCCACGGCCACCGAATCCAGGACCTCCACGGCCGCCAAATCCTCCTCCAAAACCTCCACGCCCGCCCGCAAATCCGCCTCGACCGCCAAAGCCAGGACCAGAGCCAGCGAAACGATCCTCGCGAACCTCGAGGGGGCGACCTTGCCAATCATAACCATTAAATTGCTGGATAGCATTGCGAGCATCATCAGGATGTTCGAAAGCAACAATACCGGACCCCTTGGGGCGGCCATCTGGTCCCAAGTGAACATCCGCACGGACGACAGCGCCGTTACGAGCTATTTAGAGTGTTATTCCCACTATCTTCTTGTTAGCAACAAGGTCAGACTTACCAGCTTGACGGAACAGATCCTTCAGATCCTGCCATCCCACGGTGTAAGGGAGCTAGATGAGCAAGTCAATGTAATGCTCCCCAAGAGCTAACACTAAGGGAAGGATGTAACAAACGTTAGAGACGTAGATTTGACGACCGCCGCCACCAGCGCCACCACCAGCCATGCCGCCTCCAAATCCACCACCGAATCCACCCCGGCCAGCGCCAATGGCACCTTCATATCCGCCGCGACCTCCTGAAGGCGGACCAGTGAATCGAGGTTCGGCCTCACGATCCTGACATGGAACGATTAGTCCATCTCCATCCGGGGACCACGTGGTATAAAGACTTACTTCTCGAACGTAGACAAGTCGTCCCATGAGGTTCTGGTTGCTGAGAGTGTTGACGGCCTGCTGAGCTTGCTCCCTCGTAGCATATTCTACAATGCTGTATTGAAATTAGTCTTTGATGCAAAGGGTTTTTTTTCTTCACATAGTAGTTCTTTGGGAGACTTACCCGCATCCCTACATGTCCCGCGGAACATCGTCCCAATCCGTCAATCCAACATTCCTTCAAAAACCAGAAAAGAAAAACTCAAAATGCCAGCTATGTATAGGCGCCCACCTTCGACATTCCATTCGGAAGCAACAACACATCTGCGAATAAGACCTCCCCAGCTAGAGAAGCACTTCGAATCAGCTCCAACTCAGTTGTGTCCGTGAAATAATAACCACTAACCAGTTCTCATGAAATCTTTCAGGTGGTGCCATTTGACATCATAACTGAGGTTACCGACGTAGACCCTGAATCCAACTGTGAGCGTAAATCCATTCTTTATTTTCCCAGATCGTTACTGACCGGCGATCTTGTTGCGAATTGTCCTTGAGGCTGGCTAGCATCTGCTCTCTAGCTTGGGCTCTTTCCTCAAAGGATCGATGCGGTGCTCCTCCACCGGCAGACATCCCGCCACTGATAGGACTGCGAGATCTTCTGTCACCTCGGTGTCGATCTTCACGGCTTCGGCTGCGAGATCGAGGACTGTAGGAGCGACGTCTGGTAGATCGGGGAGAGCGGGAGCGTCTTCTTGGGGATCTTTCGCGCTGTTGGACGTAAGTCACTATTGCGGTCTTGAAGAATTAATGGAGAAGGTGACAGATGGGAGAGGGGGATAGGAGTTGCCGGGATGTTCGGGAGAGTAGTGGGGGAGTGGAAGGTGAAGTGTGGAGCCCGCCCACAAGGTGTTAGAAGTGAATTCGCGTCAACAACGAGGCTAGAGTCGATCTCGAGCGCAGATTTCAACAATACTATCTGGCAGAAGCACCAAGAGGTCTTGCTGCAGCAATCTCGGGCGCAACTTGCTCCAATCGACGGGAGGGGGTAAAGAAAGATATTGATCCGTGACAACTTACTCCGGGGCGATACGAGTCGTCTACTTTAAGTGCGGCGAGATGTCAGCAATTGGGAATTTTTCATGCCGAACAGCAGCTTAAGAATGAAGAAGTAGATGAGAGGAGAGTAGACAAGAGCAGAGCGGAGCAGAGTAAAAGGGAGACTGTGCACAGAAGCAGGAGTCGTCTCGACTCCGGACCCAGGCTGAGTGAATGGATGGATAGATGGATGAAACGAGGGAGGGAGGAAGAGGAGGAGGAGGAGGAGTAGGGGCAAGGGATTGGAGATTGGCATTGGGATTTGGATTGGAGGGGACAACTAACCTGCACCCGACATGGTTGCGATGTATCTTCCGAGTGGATGGGGTAGGTAGGTTGGTAGGCAGGTAGGCAGGTAGGCAGGTGTAGGTATGTCGATTTGAGGCAGCTTTTGCGTCTTGAGCTACGTGCAGTGCAGTGCAGACCTAGAGAGCGTATATCGGAGAGCTTGAGGAGGGACGCTGGCTGGCTACGCGCGCGTACAACCAGAACTGATCTGCAAGAGAGAGAGAGAGAGATGTTAGCAAAGCAACGGAAATGCTACTCGCTCATTTGCTTGTAGGGGTATTTTTTTTTTTTTTT